ACAGATCACAACAGTTGTACATCATTTCATGGGTCTGAAATTACAACACTCATAACACTTAACATGAAAAACAATACTCTTTTTATGAATTCATAAAACTTAAACTGCATTCCCCCCTGAAAAGAATTCTTACTGCGGGAAATGATGTGTCTTTCAAATGACCTCGAAGCCTCCAGATTGTGGGTTGGCGAAAGTTCCACTCTCTGTTGCAAAGGGCCTTCTATCTCAAACAGGCAAGCAGGATCATTCAACAAGTATTCACAGATCACAACAGTTGTACATCATTTCATAGGTCTGAAATATTTACACTCATTACACTTAACATGAAATACAATACTCTTTATGAATGTACATAAAACTTAAGCTGCATTTGTCCCAGAAAAGAATTCTTACTGTGGGAAATGACGTGTCCTTCAAATGACCTCAAAGCCTCCAGATTGTGGGTTGGCGAAAGTTCCACGCTCTGCTGCAAAGGGCCTTTTTTCTCAAACAGGCAAGCAGGCTGATTCAACAAGTATTCACAGATCACAACAGTTGTACATCATTTCATAGGTCTGAAATATTTACACTCATTACACTTAACAAAAAAAACAATACTCTTTTTATGAATGTATATAAAACTTAAGCTGCATTTGTCCCAGAAAAGAATTCTTACTGCGGGAAATGATGTGTCCTTCAAATGACCTCAAAGCCTCCAGATTGTGGGTTGGCGAAAGTTCCACTCTCTGTTGCAAAGGGCCTTTTTCTCAAACAGGCAAGCAGGATGATTCAACAAGTATTCACAGATCACAACAGTTGTACATCATTTCATGGGTCTGAAATTACAACACTCATTACACTTAACATTACAAACAATACTCTTTTTATAGATGTACATTAAACTTAAACAGCATTCCTCCCAGAAAAGAATTCTTACTGCGGGAAATGATGTGTCCTTCAAATGACCTCAAAGCCTCCAGATTGTGGGTTGGCGAAAGTTCCACTCTCTGTTGCAAAGGGCCTTCTTTCTCAAACAGGCAAGCAGGTTCATTCAACAAATATTCACAGATCACAACAGTTGTACATCATTTCATGGGTCTGAAATGACAACACACATTACAATAAACATGAACCAGAAGTCTCTGTCGAGACTGTAGCTCTACTGGTTTATACTTAAAACAAAGGAAAAGTAGCAGTTGCGACATGAAACTTTAAAAACAGCAATAATTAGAAAAATGATCCTTGCCACTCATCAAAGCAAAAACCGATGCAAACTATTATGTATCTTAGTGTAGTCTACTCATGTGCCAAGTTACACTGAAAAAGAATCAAAAACTGTAGGAGGAGTAGCATTTTGAAAGAATTTCAAAGAAATTTCTATTTTAGTAACCATGGCAACACTGTTCATCGATATGAAAAACCGTTGCACAGAATTATGTATCTTAGTGTAGTCTACTTGTGTGCCAAGTTATATTGAAATAGAACCAAAACTGTAGGAGGAGTAGCATTTTGAAAGAATTTCACAGAAATTTCTATTTTTAGTAACCATGGCAACACCATTTATTGAAAAATCAAAAACCGATGCACAGAATTATGTATCTTAGTGTAGTCTACTTGTGTGCCAAGATATATTGAAATGGAACCAACTCTGTAAGAGGAGTAGCATTTTGAAAAATTGTTTACAGACAGTCAGACGGACGGATGCCGGACACATTATTATTGCATAAGCTCTTCTGGTCTCTGACCAGTAGAGCTAAAAACAATACTCCTTTTATAGATGTACATTAAACTTAAACAGCATTCCTCCCAGAAAAGAATTCTTACTGCGGGAAATGATGTGTCCTTCAAATGACCTCAAAGCCTCCAGATTGTGGGTTGGCGAAAGTTCCACTCTCTGTTGCAAAGTGCCTTCTATCTCAAACAGGCAAGCAGGATGATTCAACAAGTATTCACAGATCACAACAGTTGTACATCATTTCATGGGTCTGAAATATTTACACTCATTACACTTAACATTACAAACAATACTCTTTTTATAGATGTACATTAAACTTAAACAGCATTCCTCCCAGAAAAGAATTCTTACTGCGGGAAATGATGTGTCCTTCAAATGACCTCAAAGCCTCCAGATTGTGGGTTGGCGAAAGTTCCACTCTCTGTTGCAAAGGGCCTTCTTTCTCAAACAGACAAGCAGGATGATTCAACAAGTATTCACAGATCACAACAGTTGTACATCATTTCATGGGTCTGAAATGACAACACACATTACAATAAACATGAACCAGAAGTCTCTGTCGAGACTGTAGCTCTACTGGTTTATACTTAAAACAAAGGAAAAGTAGCAGTTGCGACATGAAACTTTAAAAACAGCAATAATTAGAAAAATGATCCTTGCCACTCATCAAAGCTAAAAACCGATGCATAGTATTATGTATCTTAGTGTAGTCTACTCATGTGCCAAGTTACACTGAAAAAGAATCAAAACTGTAGGAGGAGTAGCATTTTGAAAGAATTTCAAAGAAATTTCTATTTTTAGTAACCATGGCAACACTGTTCATCGATATCAAAAACCGTTGCACAGAATTATGTATCTTAGTGTAGTCTACTTGTGTGCCAAGATATATTGAAATGGAACCAACTCTGTAAGAGGAGTAGCATTTTGAAAAATTGTTTACAGACAGACAGACAGACGGACGGATGCCGGACACATTACTATTGCATAAGCTCTTCTGGTCTCTGACCAGTAGAGCTAAAAACAATACTCTTTTTATAGATGTACATTAAACTTAAACAGCATTCCTCCCAGAAAAGAATTCTTACTGCAGGAAATGATGTGTCCTTCAAATGACCTCAAAGCCTCCAGATTGTGGGTTGGCGAAAGTTCCACTCTCTGTTGCAAAGGGCCTTCTTTCTCAAACAGGCAAGCAGGATGATTCAACAAGTATTCACAGATCACAACAGTTGTACATCATTTCATGGGTCTGAAATTACAACACTCATAACACTTAACATGAAAAACAATACTCTTTTTATGAATTCATAAAACTTAAACTGCATTCCCCCTGAAAAGAATTCTTACTGCGGGAAATGATGTGTCTTTCAAATGACCTCGAAGCCTCCAGATTGTGGGTTGGCGAAAGTTCCACTCTCTGTTGCAAAGGGCCTTCTATCTCAAACAGGCAAGCAGGATCATTCAACAAGTATTCACAGATCACAACAGTTGTACATCATTTCATAGGTCTGAAATATTTACACTCATTACACTTAACATGAAATACAATACTCTTTATGAATGTACATAAAACTTAAGCTGCATTTGTCCCAGAAAAGAATTCTTACTGTGGGAAATGACGTGTCCTTCAAATGACCTCAAAGCCTCCAGATTGTGGGTTGGCGAAAGTTCCACGCTCTGCTGCAAAGGGCCTTTTTTCTCAAACAGGCAAGCAGGCTGATTCAACAAGTATTCACAGATCACAACAGTTGTACATCATTTCATAGGTATGAAATATTTACACTCTTTACACTTAACAAAAAAAACAATACTCTTTTTATGAATGTATATAAAACTTAAGCTGCATTTGTCCCAGAAAAGAATTCTTACTGCGGGAAATGATGTGTCCTTCAAATGACCTCAAAGCCTCCAGATTGTGGGTTGGCGAAAGTTCCACTCTCTGTTGCAAAGGGCCTTTTTTTCTCAAACAGGCAAGCAGGATGATTCAACAAGTATTCACAGATCACAACAGTTGTACATCATTTCTTGGGTCTGAAATGACAACACACATTACAATAAACATGAACCAGAAGTCTCTGTCGAGACTGTAGCTCTACTGGTTTATACTTAAAACAAAGGAAAAGTAGCAGTTGCGACATGAAACTTTAAAAACAGCAATAATTAGAAAAATGATCCTTGCCACTCATCAAAGCAAAAACCGATGCATAGTATTATGTATCTTAGTGTAGTCTACTCATGTGCCAAGTTACACTGAAAAAGAATCAAAACTGTAGGAGGAGTAGCATTTTGAAAGAATTTCAAAGAAATTTCTATTTTAGTAACCATGGCAACACTGTTCATCGATATCAAAAACCGTTGAACAGAATTATGTATCTTAGTGTAGTCTACTTGTGTGCCAAGTTATATTGAAATAGAACCAAAACTGTAGGAGGAGTAGCATTTTGAAAGAATTTCACAGAAATTTCTATTTTTAGTAACCATGGCAACACCATTTATTGAAAAATCAAAAACCGATGCATAGAATTATGTATCTTAGTGTAGTCTACTTGTGTGCCAAGATATATTGAAATGGAACCAGCTCTGTAAGAGGAGTAGCATTTTGAAAAATTGTTTACAGACAGACAGACAGATGGACGGATGCCGGAAACATTTCTATTGCATAAGCTCTTAAGGTCTCTGACCAGTAGAGCTAAAAACAATACTCTTTTTATAGATGTACATTATACTTAAACAGCATTCCTCCCAGAAAAGAATTCTTACTGCGGGAAATGATGTGTCCTTCAAATGACCTCAAAGCCTCCAGATTGTGGGTTGGCGAAAGTTCCACTCTCTGTTGCAAAGGGCCTTTTTTCTCAAACAGGCAAGCAGGATGACTCAACAAGTATTCACAGATCACAACAGTTGTACATCATTTCATGGGTCTGAAATTACAACACTCATAACACTTAACAAAAAAAAACAATACTTTTTTTATGAATTCATAAAACTTAAACTGCATTCCTCCCTGAAAAGAATTCTTACTGCGGGAAATGATGTGTCTTTCAAATGACCTCAAAGCCTCCAGATTGTGGGTTGGCGAAAGTTCCACTCTCTGTTGCAAAGGGCCTTCTATCTCAAACAGGCAAGCAGGATCATTCAACAAGTATTCACAGATCACAACAGTTGTACATCATTTCATGGGTCTGAAATTACAACACTCATTACACTTAACAAAAAAAATAATACTCTTTTTATGAATGTACATAAAACTTAAACTGCATTTATCCCAGAAAAGAATTCTTACTGCGGGAAATGATGTGTCCTTCAAATGACCTCAAAGCCTCCAGATTGTGGGTTGGCGAAAGTTCCACTCTCTGTTGCAAAGGGCCTTCTTTCTAAAACAGGCAAGCAGGATGATTCAACAAGTATTCACAGATCACAACAGTTGTACATCATTCCATGGGGCTGAAATATTTACACTCATTACACTTAACATGAAATACAATACTCTTTATGAATGTACATAAAACTTAAGCTGCATTTGTCCCAGAAGAGAATTCTTACTGCAGGAAATGACGTGTCCTTCAAATGACCTCAAAGCCTTCAGATTGTGGGTTGGCGAAAGTTCCACGCTCTGTTGCAAAGGGCCTTTTTTCTCAAACAGGCAAGCAGGATGATTCAACAAGTATTCACAGATCACAACAGCTAAACATTATTTCATGGGTCTGAAATTACAACACTCATTTCACTTAACATGAAAAACAATACTCTTTTTATGAATGTATATACAACTTTAACTGCATTTGTCCCAGAAAAGAATTCTTACTGCTGGAAATGATGTGTCCTTCAAATGACCTCAAAGCCTCCAGATTGTGGGTTGGCGAAAGTTCCACTCTCTGTTGCAAAGGGCCTTTTTTCTCAAACAGGCAAGCAGGATCATTCAACAAGTATTCACAGATCACAACAGTTGTACATCATTTCATGGGTCTGAAATATTTACACTCATTACACTTAACATTACAAACAATACTCTTTCTATAGATGTACATTAAACTTAAACAGCATTCCTCCCTGAAAAGAATTCTTACTGCGGGAAATGATGTGTCCTTCAAATGACCTCAAAGCCTCCAGATTGTGGGTTGGCGAAAGTTCCACTCTCTGTTGCAAAGGGCCTTCTTTCTCAAACAAGCAAGCAGGATCATTCAACAACTATTCACAGATCACAACAGTTGTACATCATTTCATGGGTCTGAAATGACAACACACATTACAATAAACATGAACCAGAAGTCTCTGTCGAGACTGTAGCTCTACTGGTTTATACTTAAAACAAAGGAAAAGTAGCAGTTGCGACATGAAACTTTAAAAACAGCAATAATTAGAAAAATGATCCTTGCCACTCATCAAAGCTAAAAACCGATGCATAGTATTATGTATCTTAGTGTAGTCTACTCATGTGCCAAGTTACACTGAAAAAGAATCAAAACTGTAGGAGGAGTAGCATTTTGAAAGAATTTCAAAGAAATTTCTATTTTTAGTAACCATGGCAACACTGTTCATCGATATCAAAAACCGTTGCACAGAATTATGTATCTTAGTGTAGTCTACTTGTGTGCCAAGATATATTGAAATGGAACCAACTCTGTAAGAGGAGTAGCATTTTGAAAAATTGTTTACAGACAGACAGACAGACGGACGGATGCCGGACACATTACTATTGCATAAGCTCTTCTGGTCTCTGACCAGTAGAGCTAAAAACAATACTCTTTTTATAGATGTACATTAAACTTAAACAGCATTCCTCCCAGAAAAGAATTCTTACTGCGGGAAATGATGTGTCCTTCAAATGACCTCAAAGCCTCCAGATTGTGGGTTGGCGAAAGTTCCACTCTCTGTTGCAAAGGGCCTTCTATCTCAAACAGGCAAGCAGGATCATTCAACAAGTATTCACAGATCACAACAGTTGTACATCATTTCATGGGTCTGAAATTACAACACTCATAACACTTAACATGAAAAACAATACTCTTTTTATGAATTCATAAAACTTAAACTGCATTCCTCCCTGAAAAGAATTCTTACTGCGGGAAATGATGTGTCTTTCAAATGACCTCGAAGCCTCCAGATTGTGGGTTGGCGAAAGTTCCACTCTCTGTTGCAAAGGGCCTTCTATCTCAAACAGGCAAGCAGGATCATTCAACAAGTATTCACAGATCACAACAGTTGTACATCATTTCATAGGTCTGAAATATTTACACTCATTACACTTAACATGAAATACAATACTCTTTATGAATGTACATAAAACTTAAGCTGCATTTGTCCCAGAAAAGAATTCTTACTGCTGGAAATGACGTGTCCTTCAAATGACCTCACAGCCTCCAGATTGTAGTTGGCGAAAGTTCCACGCTCTGTTGCAAAGGGCCTTCTTTCTCAAACAGGCAAGCAGGATGATTCAACAAGTATTCACAGACCACAACAGTTGAACATTATTTCATGGGTCTGAAATTACAACACTCATTTCACTTAACATGAAAAACAATACTCTTTTTATGAATGTATATAAAACTTAAACTGCATTTGTCCCAGAAAAGAATTCTTACTGCGAGAAATGATGTGTGCTTCAAATGACCTCAAAGCCTCCAGATTGTGGGTTGGCGAAAGTTCAAAAAACATAACTCTTTTTGTAAATGGACATTAAATATAAACTGCACTCTTCCCACAAAAGAGATCTTACTGTGGGAAATGATGTGTCCTTCAAATGACCTCAAACCCTTCAGATTGTTGGTTGGCGAAAGTTCCACGCTCTGTTGCAAAGGGCCTTCTTTCTCAAACAGGCAAGCAGGATCATTCAACAAGTATTCACAGATCACAACAGTTGAACATCATTTCATAGGTCTGAAATATTTACACTCATTACACTTAACAAAAAAAACAATACTCTTTTTATGAATGTATTCATATAAAACTTAAGCTGCATTTGTCCCAGAAAAGAATTCTTACTGCGGGAAATGATTTGTCCTTCAAATGACCTCAAAGCCTCCAGATTGTGGGTTGGCGAAAGTTCCACTCTCTGTTGCAAAGGGCCTTCTTTCTCAAAGATTCAAGCAGGATGATTCAACAGGTATTCACAGATCACAACAGCTGTACATCATTTCATGGGTCTGAAATTACAACAGTCATTACACTTGCTTGACATTGCAAACAATAATCTTTTTATTAAAATACATTAAACTTATACTGCAGTCCTCCCACAAAAGAATTCTTACTGCGGGAAATGATGTGTCCTTCAAATGACCTCAAAGCCTCCAGATTGTGGGTTGGCGAAAGTTCCACTCTCTGTTGCAAAGGGCCTTCTATCTCAAACAGGCAAGCAGGATCATTCAACAAGTATTCACAGATCACAACAGTTGTACATCATTTCATGGGTCTGAAATTACAACACTCATAACACTTAACATGAAAAACAATACTCTTTTTATGAATTCATAAAACTTAAACTGGATTCGTCCCTGAAAAGAATTCTTACTGCGGGAAATGATGTGTCTTTCAAATGACCACAAAGCCTCCAGATTGTGGGTTGGCAAAAGTTCCACTCTCTGTTGCAAAGGGCCTTCTTTCTCAAACAGGCAAGCAGGATCATTCAACAAGTATTCACAGATCACAACAGTTGTACATCATTCCAAGGGTCTGAAAGTACTACACTCATAACACTTAACATGAAAAACAATACTCTTTTTATGAATGTACATAAAACTTAAACTGCATTTGTCCCTGAAAAGAATTCTTACTGCGGGAAATGATGTGTCCTTCAAATGACCTCAAAGCCTCCAGATTGTGGGTTGGCAAAAGTTCCACGCTCTGTTGCAAAGGGCCTTCTTTCTCAAAGATTCAAGCAAGATGATTCAACAAGTATTCACAGATCACAACATTTGCACATCATTTCATGGGTCTGAAATTACAACACTCATAACACTTAACATGAAAAACAATACTCTTTTCATGAATTCATAAAACTTAAACTGCATTCGTCCCTGAAAGGAATTCTTACTGCGGGAAATGATGTGTCCTTCAAATGACCTCAAAGCCTCCAGATTGTGGGTTGGCGAAAGTTCCACGCTCTGTTGCAAAGGGCCTTCTTTCTCAAACAGGCAAGCAGGATCATTCAACAAGTATTCACAGATCACAACAGTTGTACATCATTCCATGGGTCTGAAATTACAACACTCATTACACTTAACATTACAAACAATACTCTTTTTTATGAACGTACATAAAACTTAAACTACACTCCTCCCTGAAAGAATTCTTACTGTGGGAAATGATGTGTCCTTCAAATGACCTGAAAGCCTCCAGATTGTGGGTTGGCGAAAGTTCCATGCTCTGTTGCAAAGAGCCTTCTTTCTTTAACAGGTTGATGAACAAGTATTCACAGATCACAACAGCTGTACATCATTTCATGGGTCTGAAATAAAAACACACATTTCATGAAAAATAATGACCAATATTCCTTTAATTGATGGACTTCAATCTTAAACTACATTCCTCCCATGAAAAATTTTTTTACTGTGAGAAATGATGTGTCCTTCAAATGACCTGAAAGCCTCCAGATTGTGGGTTGGCAAAAGTTCCACTCTCTGTTGCAAAGGACCTTCTTTCTCAAACAGCAATACATCATATCATGGGTCTGAAATTACAACACAAATATCATGAAAAATTAACAACAATTATATTTTTTTGATTCAACTTAATGTAAGATTTTTAAAAAAATTTCCTATATTTTGTTTGTTAAACTTTCATCACCCATTGGGGCTCCATCCTACCCCAGGGGTCATGATCTGAACAAACTTCAATCAACACTACCTGATGATACTTCAATATAGATATGACCAATCACGGCTTTGTTGTTCTTTAGAAGAAGATTTTTAAAAAATTTTCCTATATATTCCAGGACTTATGGAAAACTTTGATGCCCAATTGTGACCCTATCCTAGGGGTCATGATTTGAACACATTTATGGGCTTTTGATTTTGAATACTATTCTTTATTTAAATTTAGTTTCATGAAACATATTTAAATAAAGAATAGTATTCAAAATCAAAAGCCCATTAAACAATACAAAACTAGTTTTAATTGTAACGGGAACCGTTACAGATGTTCCCCAAACGCTCCCCAAATCCCTCTTTGTGCCATTTCCCTGTAAGACATTTTTAAAATATGCTCAGTTTCAAAGGATTTCTTATAAGAATTATTAAAGCTACAATGTTACCAACAATATGTTATTTATTAACAAATTGCACGCACACGCACGTGCATGCACATTCAAGATGATCATGGCATGTTGTCTTAACCATTTCTTTGTGTCGTGAGAATCAATAAGACAAATCATAAAAAATATAAATGTTACCGTTTTTCAGATATATTGGTCATTTTGCATATTGTGCACGTGCATGCATGCGTGTCCTTGCATTCATTTCTGATAGTAGCATAATGTAGTAATCCATCATACCTATCCATATTCTAAATTTCATCCCGTTCTGTTGAGAACCAATAAAGTTATAGGCATTTAAAGTTTCAGCCAATCAGATTGCAGCACATGCGCATGCGCATGCTTTCATGATAATTCTTATATATCAGGCTGTAGATCTTCATAATGTATGACTATGTTCAAAATTTCAAATGAGTTTGTCAAAAAACAAGAAAGACATTGAGACTTTAGTTTCAGCCAATCAGAGCGAAGTGCACGTGCATGCGCATGAGATCTTGCTATTTTGACCATGTCATCATGTCTATACTACTAACATATCTTCACATTATGAGTTTCAAAGCATTTCATCAAAAAATAGAAAAGTTGCGGCTATATCTATTGTCACTTCACGTGTTGCATGTG